TTTTGAAAATATTTCTCCCTTTAGGAGTTTGATATGTATGCTCTAATTAGTATGGGCAGTTCCCATAGATTTTTTTATCCTATAAATAATTGTAGAAGGGATTTGTATTAGTTTAGGGGTCTGGGCATCTAGAAAATTACAGCTTCAGATTTCTGTGTCTTGAACACTTGCTGCTTGAGGTATGACTGTGTAACTTCTCTGCCAGAAAAATGAAATGGAAAAGTCCTGAGAATATCTAAGGAGAGGAACTCTCCTGGACTAGCTTTCAAGGCATTCTCCCTAAGGTGGGAGGTGTGTGAAGGAAGGTACCTTGGGTTCTCCAAAATGTGTCAGTTGCCAGCTGAGTATCACTGAGTATCTTTGTGGAGCATAAAAATGATCCAGAGAAGCTTTGACTGTATTCATGACCTGCAAACTTGTGACATACATAAAATTCTTGTTTTACAGCACAAAGTTTTTCAGTAGTCTGTTACATGGCAATATATACCAGGAAAATAAATTGTTATCTGAGGTAAGGGTACTGCCACACAGCATTTTATCTTTCTTTCTTATTTAATCTTCCTGTTGTTGTTGTTGTTGTTATGTGCTGTTGAGTCAGACCTGACTCATAGCGATCCCTCCTTGGGTTGCCAAGGCAGTATCACTATGGAAGTAGATTGCCCAACCTTCCTTCTCAGGAGTGGCTTTAATTTAACATAATCATGTGTCTATTTAATTTTAATCAAGCTGTGCCTCATATTTCTTTACTGTAAATGAATAATATAACTCTTTTACTTGATGTGCATGCACCAACCACCCTGCTTCAGTACTCCTACCTCTTTCAAATGTATTTGTTGTTGTTGTTGTTATGTGCCGTCTAGTCGGACCCGACTCATAGTGACCCCTCCTTGGGTTTTCGAGGCAGTATCACTACAGAAGTAGATTGGCCAACCTTCCTTCCAAGGAGTGGCTGGTAGATTTGAACCATCAGCCTCCTGGTTAGCAGTCAACTGCCTTAGGCATTACACCACCAGAGCTCCATGTACTACTTTTTCTTATTTGCTTGCTTCTTTTTCTCCTACTTCTAGACCATTCATTATAAATAAACAAAAATAATTACTTTGAGTCCTAAATTTATATTTCTATTGTTTCCTCTAAATTGCATTCCAGTATTGTAATTGTAAGGAGAATTAGATTAGACTTTTTTCCCAGGTCATCACTTTAAGATAAGCAGCCTCCTTCAAAACTTTATGTGGCTAAGAATTTTACTTTCTTATTTTAAATTCTTATTCTCCATTGACTTCTCCTCATTTAACAAGCATAATTACGAGTTTTCCATTATAAAATAAAAGAAAATACCTTTCCTGGAATTTGTCTACTTTTTGTCTACCTTCTTATATTTTCATTTCTTCACATACAAATTTCTTCAAACAATAAATTATACTTCCTGTCTTATTTCCCAGCATTCTATTAACTAGATAGACCAACTTAATAAAGTTTGTGCTGCCAAGCATAATTAATGAAGACCAAACACAAATTCAGCTCAAATGATTTGCACTTCTGATGCATTTCTTAAAGAATAAATATCAGAATTCTGAGAAATTTTCTCCTCACTTTGGATTCTATGATAACATTTTCTTCTAGTTCTCATTCTAATTCACTGTTAAAAGTTTTTCTTCTTATATTCACACTTTAGGTATTGGCCTTTGTTATATTAAGTCTTAGCCTTTTTGCTGTTATAAGTATATATTTTTTTACACTTCATGGTTTCAGCTAATAAGACTCATTACTTTCTCCAACTCTAACCTTTTTCTGGTACTTTTGGTCCCACTTCCTAATAGCCACTGTGGTAGTTAAGGTTGTGTCATCTTGGCAGGGCCTAGTTTTGAG